ATGGTATTTTGAAGTCAGAAGTCAACTGCCGGTTAATAGACTTTTTTGCCGTATGAGTGTACATTGCCCAGGGTGCACCGCGTGGAAGAAAGTCTATCGCACCTCCCTTCGAACAGAAATAGTCTTTAGGAAATGATATTCACATTTAGTTAGTTGCATTTGTCATTTTTTGAACGGAAATCGATTGCATTAAAACCGCTACATACCTGAGGATAAAAGGGCTCTTGTCGTAAATTGATATTTCCCAACAAATTTTAATGGCAGTGAAGTGTAATTCAGGTAAACAGTTGTGCCACTCTTGAAATGAATTCTCAGAGTCATTGTTAAGAGTGCCCAAAATACCATTTCACTGTCATATATTAAATCATAAGAAATGAGTAAATACAGTTTGGTATTAAGTTGACACAATAGATAGGCAATTACACGAAGTCGAATTGAGCAATCATCCTCATATACGAGCCCGATTAATGCACTAATTTAGGGCTCGAACCCTTTTCAGAACCTGTGGATCTAGTTTCGAAATGACAAGATTGATATAGTAAAATAACTTCGTTTAATACATTCAAAGCCAATCTTTTTTTGAAATCTAAATTGGCGATCTTTAGCAACACGGCCTCCACTTGCTCAGTACTCGATATGTTCTAACGGCCTTTAGACCTCCTTTTCTATTCTCATTTGCTATTCCTATTCTTCTTCCATTCTTTTCACTTATACTTGACATCTTTTACACTTGTAATTGTCCAGTGGACCGCCTCAACTCATGCTTTTAGGTTTACAGAAAGCCTGTTGTATTCTGTTAGTCTCCTGACAAATCGGCACACCTTTTAAGTGACTCGGTGGTATTATACAGCTAACTCAGAGATAAATTCGATTCCTTCGGTGAGGAAAATTTATTTATTTCTTAATATCGAATGGCAGGCGTTTTGATAGTTACCAGTAGCCCTTTAGTTGACTTCAGAATTCATAGAGGGGAGGAACAATAAAGTGAAAAAGTCGAGAGTGAGGAACAGAAGAGTCATTTAAAGATATTAAAGCGACAGACACAATGGTAGGGTGAAAAAGCAAGGTGAGTACTGTGAAAGTGGTTAAATATGGCCATACAGTGGGGTCATGGTAGTTCGAATTCAGAAGTCAACTACCGGTTTATGGACCTTTTAACCACTCCGTGGAGGTAAGTCACTTGCACATCTCTCGGTGAGGAAACTCGTTTTCGGCGATTTACAAATATATACGGAACTGACCATTTAAAGACACACACACAAAAAACCTAGAAAAATCGTCTAACTTTAAATATACTTGGTTAATTGAATAATTATCGATTGCGAAATTCAAGATGATGTACTACGGCAGTTTTCTGGTACCTATTGGCTGTGGGGACGAAGGTTGATCGAAAATTTGACTTTATTACAAAACCGTTGGTAATTAGCAACAAACTTTCTGTTTAGTATCAGTTTCACTAAAATCATAGCAATATTTTCATGATTCTGTTAATAAATGCACAGTTTGGTTTTAAAAACATTGCAACTCTATGTAAAATCACTTTCTAATTTCTAAAACCTTTTGGAAAATCGTATGCACCTCATCTTACTCTTGCTTGCACTGAAAATTTACACCTGTTTAGATGAACTTACTTAAACCAAATACAAGGTACGTGTTTGGGAAAATTGAAAAAAAGTGATTTCCTTCAACGTGTCTAACATACCAAGTTCTGTCTTTTCTTTAACAAAATTTGGAGTTGAATGTAATAAAATGTAATAAAAAAATTCGGCCTCCCGTTGGTCCAAATCAATAAAGCGCAATAATCAGGTATTCCAGAAAATACTAGACAGGTAACCGGTAGAAAATCACCGCTTTCACACAGAATTCGCTTGAAATTTGAAAGTTAATTCTATTTTTCATTAAGTAGAACTTTAAGGAATTTTATTTCAGTACAAAAACGTATTTTGTATAATTTTTACAAATTAATAACATTACTGATTAAAATATTGAAACTTTGAATTAGTTCAATAAAAAATCAAAGTCAAACCTTTTGAACAAGCAGGTGTGGGTATCACAACACTGGCATGACAAAAGGAAAATGCCCTTAAGCGTTCGAACATTCTGGTACGCGTGGTGGTGATACCAATCAACCCATTGAGCAAATGAGTCATCATAGCGGAGACCTAACAGCCAATCAGCAATTATGAGTCATGTCAGGATCCGTACAAACGAAATTACTTAGAATGAAAAGCCTTCTATCTGTTAAAACACAATCTCCTCCCAACGTCTGCTTCTCTACACTGCTAATGTGGGGTTGCTTAAAAAGGTATAAATTCCAAAATTGAGTTTGCCATGGTAATGAATGAGCAAAACCGATGCTTTTTAATGCAGCTATCATTAATAACAGATAGATTATAAATTTTCTTCAGATACCTTTATTCCAGTTTGCTGTGCGGATAAAATTTAGGGATTAGCGTTCTGAATACAATAGAAAATTATTGAAGAGAATTTGCAGACAAAATAAATCGGAATTTTACTACTAAATTTGATTTATTTCCAAACTTTTAAGTGGAATAAAATGTCAAAATGTACCATAAATACAGACTTTAAATACATTAATATATTTTACCAATAAATAATTAGATGGAGCAATTTAATTCATTCCAATATTTGGAAAATGAGATAAGGGAAAAATAAATAGTTAATTCTTTAGGAAATTAATGAGATGGTATTTATTATACTTCTGAAGTCCATTTGGAATGGTCTCCCAACTGTTATTTTTTAAAGATGAGCTTAAGTTCTTTGACATTCTCTATCACCTCAAATTTATTTATATCAAATGGCAGACGTTTTGATAGTTATCATTAGCCCTGAGCTGACTTCGTGGCTTCACATCAAAGTGACAAAAAGTCTAGAGGGGGAACAGAAGAGCGATTCACAGATGTAAAAGAGACAGACAAACAGACATAAAGGCATAAAAAAGGTAAGATGAGTACTTTGAAAGGGGTCGAATATGACAGAGTGGGATCATGGTAGCTTGAAGTCGGAAGTCAACTGCCGATCAATAGACTTTTTTGCCGTATAAGAAGTGATAAGTCAACTGCCGGTTAATAGACTTTTTTGCCGTATGAGTGGGTTGCCCAGGGTGCACCGCGTGGAGGTAAGTCTATCGCAACAACTGCCGGTTAATAGACTTTTTTGCCGTATGAGTATACGGTGCCCAGGGTGCACCACGTGGAGGTAAGTCTAAATATACATTGCCCAGGGTGCACCACGGAGGTAAGCCGAATGAGAATACGTTGCCCAGGGTGCACCACGTGGAGGTAAGGTGTGAGTGTACGTTGCCCAGGGTGCACCACGGACTCTTTTGCCGTGTATACGTTGCCCAGGGTGCACCAGTTTGTTTGCCGTATGAGTATACGTTGCCCAGGGTGCACCACGTGATAGACTTACTTGCCGTATGAGTACACGTTGCCCAGGGTGCACCACGTGGTGCCTTATGAGTATACGTTGCCCAGGGTGCACCACGTGGAGCCGTATGAGTAAACGTTGCCCAGGGTGCACCACGTGGAGCCGTATGAGTATACGTTGCCCAGGGTGCACCACGTGCCGTTTGAGTATACGTTGTCCAGGGTGCACCACCTGGAGGTAAGTCTATCGTGAGTATACGTTGCCCAGGGTGCACCACGTGGAGGTGTATAAGTATACGTTGCCCAGGGTGCACCACGTGGAGGTAAATCTATTGCGCACCCTTATTACCTCAAACTAGAAATTCGCAAATGGCCGCATTACAACTTTAAATCAGTTTAGTCTCCTTTTTTGAGCGATTAGTTAATCTAAGAAGATAAATTAACTGGTTAGCGTAAAAATTGTTTGCAAAGCCTTTTGGTTTGAATGCATTAAAATGAATTGAATCTCAAGGTAAAAATGAGGTGACAAAAAAACGATCTCACTGCAATAGGAGGCAGTACTTTTCCCGTCCCATTATATAGTTAATACGCATGGTATCCAAAATAATTTTTTTCAAAATACATGGACAAGGATAACCCAAATCGTCCTCCCGCCTTAAAAGAAGGTAGCAAAACTGTTAGTTGCTCAAAATGCAGTGTGTAAAAATAATTTCGTCCTATTATTTGACAATATGAATAGAATCAATAAGTGATGACAAAATAATAAAGATTATTTCAACCACGAGTTAAATTGGGGTGAGAATATTGGAGTTAGGCTAAGATATGACTAGCAATAATATGGAAATGGGATTATCCTAAAATGTAATTCATCAAATAGTCTAGAGTGGATATCAGAAAGCATAACTTTGTTAAAACTAACTAATGCTAATTAATCAAAAAATTTACCTGGAAAATTATTTTTAATAATAAATTGTTTTCCGCTGCAATATTAATATTTTGTTCTATACAGTTATCAATGATCGAGTAAATATTAACTTTAAATTTGCAAGATAATTATATATTTATATTCTTAAAAGTGTTTTTTTCACCCATAAAGGTTGCAGTTCATAAAATTTCATTTTATAAATTGGAGCGTCTATTACTACCTTTAATGCACTGACGACCTTCGCAACAATTCATATATATGCTAATGCCTAACTACTTGTGACTTTCACTGTCACACCTATTAATTGAAAAATTTTCAAGTTATAAAATTTCCATATACATAAATGGGCAAAGACATTTCCGAAAAAGGTAAAATTACTGCTTTTGCATTAAGTTATGATAATTTAACCTTAAGATGATGATATTTTAGAGCTGCTTAACTTTCTTAACTCATTTTCGATATTTTAAGACTTTCTTTTAATTTATTTTTCTTATGAAAGTTCCCTTGAGCATAGATAAATTTGCTTGGTTAATCTTATGGATATACCTCAGATGCTTACTTACGACCATACTGATTTATTAAACAAATTTTCTGATATAGAGCTAATATATCGTTTATTGTGTAAAATTTGTTCTTATTTTAACTTTGTTGTTCCTCATCAGCTAGTTTAAAACCCAGCTTTCTGTATGTATTCCAAAATAATGATCAATATTCATAACCCATTTTGTAATTCAGAAGTCATGGACTCAAAACCTCTTCCTCAATATACGGGTAAGTATTCAGCATTTTTCACTTCTTAAAACATAATTAATTTAAAATATTGAAGGGATTTGATGAAAGGCAGTTTGTTAACAGATTTACGTTTTTTGCAATTGGTTACTTCCTTGTCAATTTGCTTTAGTAAAATTGACAGTTATAATTTTTCAAACCTCTCCCTCTCTCTTAGATGCAGCTACTGTTCAACAACCGCATCATATTGGTGAGTTTCGATAAATTTTTTATACTTTAATAAATGCAGAGCCTGAAAATAATTGTCAATTTATTTGCTTTGCCAAGCCATTCCAGCTGTATACTTCGGCAAAGAACCTATTGATACGTTCTGCATTCATTGTGGAAACCGTATAAGAACGTCGACTGAATTTGTGACAGGACCTTGTACACACATTTCTGCAGCGGTTATTTGCCTATTTGGGTGAGATTTTGAAGTGAATTACTTCTTTTCAAATTCAGCAACGTGTAATGTCAATTACCTGTTTTTTCCGAATTAAAGATTTTGGTGCGGATGTTGCTTAATTCCCTACTGCGTGGACGATTGCATGGATGTACTTCACAAATGTCCACATTGCCAGAGAGAATTGGGCAGATTTAAACGATTTTAATTGATCAGAATGTATGCCTGCATTTTATACACAGATAACTCTTTATTGTGGAATAAAAGTAATATTTTTAACATGAGTGTTTTCACTATTTATTGTGAAAAGTACAACTACAAAAGATCATCTATTATATCGCAATAAAGGGTACACCCTGAGCAAAGTATTCTCATGCAGCAAAAAAGTCTGTTAACCGGCGGTTGTTGTTTGGCTTCAAACTACCATAACCCCACTCTATGCCCTATTTGACCCCTTCTATAGTACTCATCTTACCCTTTTTCTACTTTTGCGTCTGTCAATCTCCTTTCATCTGTGAATCACTGTTCTTTCTCATCACTCAAATTTTTGTCACTTTGATGTTCCTCCTCCCCTCTGTGAAGTCCAAAGTCTGCTAAAGGGCTGATGATAAAAATCAAAACGCCTGCCGTTTGAAACAAAATAAGTAAATATTCCAATGAAAATGCAATATAATTCCGACTACTTATATTTGTTTACAGGGGGTGTGTGATAGACTTACCTCCACGTGGTGCACCCTGGGCAACGTATACTCATACGGCAAAAAGGTCTATTACCTGGCAGTTGACTTTAAACTACCATGACCCCACTGTATGCCATATTCGACCCCTTTCACAGTACTCATCCCACCTTTTGTTCACCTTATCTACCTTCGTCCTTGAGACACTCTTCTGTCCCCCCCCCTCTTGAATTTTTTACACTTTGATGTTCCTTCTCCTCTGTGAAGACTGAAATCAACTAGAGGGCTAATGATAACAATCAAAACGCTTTCCATTTGATATAATAATAATAATGTTTGTTTACAGCATTCGTTCATGCGCATTTGTTTCACCGATGGATTTTTACCCAGCTTCTTGATTTGAGTCTAGTGCTTTTTAGAACCAGCAGTATCAAGAAAGAAGTTTTGCGAATCCAGTTGATTAAAGTTATTTTTCTGTTATTGAACCCAATTAACGAACCTGAAAATTGAATATTCCCCTCTCCATATAACATCGACTCGTCAGACTTCCATTTGTTTAATGTAAATCAAATTTGTTTCAATTCTAGCGTCATTAAAGACGATTTCATTAGTTTTGCGGCAGATACTGCACGAGTAAGATTTAACATCTTCCCTAAGAAAATCCTATAGTATAAAGCTGTTCACAAGTTTAGTTAATGTTTATTGAAAGAATTAAGAAAACAGAACTTATTGGGTGAAAAGAATTATAGATTATGGCAAACACCACAAAAAATTATTCATTACTACAATTATACAATCTGCTGCGTTTCTGCTACGATTAATTGATGAATAGCCGAGATTTCTCCACATTCACGGTCATAACTTGCAATCCGTCCGACAGCCACACCTTCAGGATCGTTCGAATGCACATGAGATCTCTGTGAATAGTCTTGATGACGTTTATCAATTTATATCCTTTATGTACTGGAATAGTTCAAATTAGAAGGAGAGTTTAACAATATTTTGAAAGTCTTTTCGAGCTGATACGAACCTATACTATGATGTGCTGATGTGTTTCTGCATATATTTAAAGGAAAGGGGATCATATCGCATTTAAAAGTTTCATATCTTTCATGTCTTTTCAATTCCGTTAGGCATTTTTGTCAGATCACCGCGTTTAAGCGCATAAAACAGACAGCCGCCTTTTTCAGTCGTCCATAAAATTGGGACGATTGTAATGCATAGCATATTGAGCAGTGAAAATTATAAAATGAGTTAATTAAAGAAAATGAGAGAGGGGTAAGATAATACTACAGTGATTGGAGAAATTTTGATTTTTGCACAAAAAGTGTTCCTTTATATTACCTCTCTGAAATGATTGAAAAAAGTTTCGGCAAACGCAAAGGCATGAACCCTATTTCTATCAAAACGATCACACTAAGGAATATTGATTTTTTGTCATTATAACTGGAAATAACTGATGATTTTTGCTTTTTCGTATTCATTCTAGTTGTGTAGTTTTAATCAATACAAAACATTGTGCTTATATTTCACGGCATTAAGCAGTGTTTTGTATTGAGATATCATTTTGAAGCACTTTAGAGATATTTTGTGATTTAAACCGTGCATTAGCTGACCCGTAAAGGTCAATTTTAGCACGTAATTATATCAAGCACATGTTCCGATAACTTAAGGGACCAACTATTCTCTCCACCAACAATTGGTCCATTCTACCCACTGCATTAAAATAACTCTTTATTTCAATCTTCTCATTACTTAAGCAATAATTGGTCGACAGCTATTTACTCTGGGTTTAAAACATAACATACCCAACTAACTACTAATTTGCCAAATAAATAATTTTGCCAATTAACCGTTATTGGTAGTATTAAATGGAAACACTTGCCATTTACTTGTCCCTTGTTAAATAACTTAAAATTTTGAGAAAAAATTTTTTAAATATTTATTAATCTTATATAATCTTGTGGTGATTATTTATCCTACCCCCCTCCAAACTCAAATCGCTTCAGCTAATGGAATGTAAGATGAGAAAAATAACATTTCGACAAATGTATTTTCTTTTAGTGGGTGGTTTGCAAATGCCACTTTGCCCTCAATGATTAAGTAACAAAAGATTCAAATGTGGAAATATGGTAAATAACTGAGAACAGGAATCGATTGAGCTTCAATCGCGCCTTGATGTTAGATTTATTTCGAATGGCAGGAATTTTGTTAGTTACCATTATCCCTTTAGGCTTTAGGCTTCATGGAGGGGAGGAACATCAAAGTAACAGAAAGTCGAGGAGTGGGGTACAAAAAAATGATTCACAGATATAAAAGAGACAGACAAAGAGACAGAAAAAAGGTAGGATGAGTACTGTGAAAGTGGTCGGATATGACATGCAGTGGGGTCATATTAGTTAGAAGTCAGAAGTCAATTGCCGAATAATAGACTTTTTGCCCAATGAGTATACGTTGCCAAGGTGTACCACGTGGAGGTAAGTCTATGGTACACCCCAGGCGAAATTGTAAGAATAATCAGGCCTTGATGTAACACCAGCAAAGTCAGAGCCCATTGGTTTGCTGCACCCTGGTGAGTGACACATGAAATGAAGGATCAACCGCACTACTTAAGCCTGGCTAATAGACAAGCTGGCTGAAATCGATTTTGCCACCAGGCTGGCCTCATGGTACATCACTCTACTCAACGTTGACATTCGCTTTTCCAAATGGGATTGGAAAGTAGGGTCACAAAGTTAGCTTCACTCTTAACTTAAAAATTCATCAAGACTCGATTTCAATGAATATGCAAGTGGGATATTTTAATAATATTCCTTTAAATATATTCATGTTCCCAACTCTTTAAGAAGAGCGTATGAGGTTGTCAGTTCATTATAACTCAAAATAATTTGTTATTTTAATGTGGAAGACAATGTTGAATTGCGCAGGGGATATTTAGTAGATCACATTGGCAATAATCTGTTCAAAATGGCATATGACAGAAGATTGCTGTTTTGGATGTGCCATCCTCCATCTTGATTGATTTGATGTCACCATTGGTCAGGGAACATCATAATATGTTCCGGTACCAAAGAGAAGTCCTTGATCTTATATGAGAAGCTACTTGCGCATTACCATGGACAAATTCTTCAGCAATTATGAGAATAGACCAAGACATCTGAAAACGCAATCTGGTCTAATACAGAAAGCCATAGAACTGAAGAAAGCATTACAAATCGAGGACAAATCAATAAGCCTCCCTCTACCCATGAAACCATTAGCGGACACTGATATAGTGTGTTGCACCCAACTGCACCAAGTTTTCACTGATGGATCATACATAGAAAACCAAGCAAACATTGGTTCAGGTGTCTATTCTGAACTCTTCTCTTTCTACGCAGCAGCAGGACACAATAGATCCGTTTTCGAAGGAAAAAAGAGGCCATTAGGATAGCACTATGCCAATCAAGTTGCCTGGATATGAAATTCATCAAAGCAGTAATCCTTTTG